AAATTAATTAACAAACGGAGACGTAACAATATGATAAAATATAAACTACAACTTAAATTTAAGTTTAAAAGACGGTGATTTCATCAATAAAATCAGCTTTGAATACTGTATTTTGTTTCCAGGATTTAGAGTTACTCAGTTTTCTATGAGACTTCTGACTTCCGAATGAATGCAAGAGTTACTACATATAGCTAATTGCCTACAATTGCTCTTTCACTCAAACAACTTTCACCATATGGTTTTCACATGAAAATATATTTTATTTTCCTTGTATTGATTCCTGTTTTAAGGACAAGCTAAAAATTTAGCAATAAATGCATAACACACTCTTGCACATATTGAAAGACAGTATCCGATTAGTTGTTATTATTATTGTATGGAACTATAGAAATAGACATTCAAATTCTGTAAATAATTAGAATGTTCACGTCTTTAGTCACTTCAAGTTAAAAATATGCGATTTGCTTGTATTCAAATGTATATCCCATATGTTTTTAACCCTGTTATTTATCTTGCCATTCTACAGCTACAAAACAGCTTGGCTGTTATCATTCAAATTCAATAAACTCTTCACAGGAATTTTTTGAAGTATTAGAGGAATATTTTGTTGAAATAAACGTCAGTTCAGAAAAACTAAAAATATTTTCACTTGTAGAAAATTAGTAAAAGTAAAGAGATATAGTAAATCCATTACGTATTTGCTATAGCAATAAATATAACGCTTGGGCTTTGAAAGTTGTTAGGTTGTTTAAGGAATTAATAATCTGATTACTAAGTTTGGGAAACCTTTCGAATTTTTTCATACATTTGGTATTTTTCCCACTTCCATATTTCACGCTTTTTCACCAAGCAAAAAATACTTTAACCCTATATTGTCCTGATGGATTTTATAGTGTTCACCGTACAAGCTGAAATTCCTACAAACGTTTGAAATAAAAAATTACAAAGTTATATAAAGCTAAACACCGAACTATATGCACTGTAAGAATGGTGATAAACTGAAGGCCGTTGACAACAATCGTATTATAGGTATTGTAAATTTTAGAAAAAAAAGGACATATATATATATATATATATAATTATCAAAATACTAATCAAATATACTAAGATAAGAAAAGTGCATCGTCAGGGAATGAAAATATTGTTGTTGTTATATCTGTTTGGTAAATATTATACTTTCTGTAATTTTTCCAAAAACACGTTCACAGTTTACATGATCGAACACATTTATAAGATAGATCTCTATAAAACTGTAGTAACAATTAGGCTTAGAAATGTTTCATTATCAGTGAAATACATGAAAGCATTAATAAAGTGATTGATCAGCCACATATTTGCTGTTAATTACTAGACATATTTTGGAAATTTCCTCTTAACGTTCGTTTTTCACACACTTCTCATATTCTTTTATTAAAGTAAAAATTATTTGTTTTACTTCAAACGAAGATACATGGAGTGAGCTTGTGTGACACTTTAATGCAAAAGCGCTTTTCACCCTTTCATTTTGTACTACAGTTCGCTTAATGTTATTTGCATCAGTTATTGAGCCTTACTGTTTTATCTGGGATGTAAAATCAACTCCTTCAGTTAACATAAACGTATTGTTACGACAGCGGAAGTCACGTGACGTTGGAAGAATGCGCGCTGGAGTTTCTAGAAGGATCATAACTGTTCCTGGCAACTCTAGTCTTTTCTAGGCGCCCTCTATTTTAGTATATAAGCCCAGCAAATAAAGCGGAGATATGATTGCAGATAGACAGATATAGAGACAGATAATTGAGTTAAGTGAGCGGTAGTGACCATAAGTAAAGTGCGTGAATCGTTGTGAATTATAGCGTGTTTAAGTTAAATTGACTGTGGAAATTAAGTGTATTGCAGAGTTGTATTGAAAAAGAATAAACTAGTTTTATTTAAGAAAGGACTTGCATCGCTGAAGTTTCTCGGGAAGAATTTCTATGGGAAAATTAACAAACGAACAAAGATGTAACAGTATAATATTTTGTTCGCCAGCAATACCAGGAATGTCCTGGGATGTACATATACTCTATTCGAATTTATTACACCGGAATCTCTACCGACCTACCCTCAAATTCAGATTCTTTCAGCCAGGATTAGAGTAAATTAATCTATGAGACCTTGGGCGTGGTAACATAATCAAGGGTTTAACCTCCTGAATCCAAAATTGTAATTTGATCTCAAACCGTTAAGAGATGATAGAGTTATGAGCTAAAAGTTTGTACTTGAAAGAAAACAACAACTCAGACCCATTCTATGAGTGGTAATGCCGAGACTAATAACCTGGGATATTGTCTAAGGTCATGTTAGGCCCTTAGGGGGTTCAGCAGGTGTGAGGCACCCTGGCCTCCGATTGAAGGGGCCCCAAATCTGATTCAAATTGGACCCTGTTTAGTAAATTTTACTTGTCATTAACTCTCTCAACATTGGCTCAGTCAATTTGACGACCATGTGACTTTTTTGTACTCGTTTAAAGTCTTTATAGTTTTGATACTACTAACTTTTAATATCGTATGCATATCTTCACAAAATTTAGCCAGCTTGCAGTAAACATTATAAGTCTTTCACATACAAAAAGTCATATATTTGTGAGTATTTTTAATAAACTAAAAAAAGATTCGTCCGTGAATATGTCGAGTATTTTTACTAGTGCAAAGTTATATTCGTGTTAAGATTAAAATTACTTTTCCTCATCTCAAAGATCTCAAACTTCATTTGAGTAATCTCTAAAACCTCCTCGATAGATTTCAAATGTTTGTTTTCAGGAAAACTTTATATTTTATGTTATTTTCTCTACCCTAGCCCTATACAACGTCGATCAATTTGACCGACCTCGT